TGACCTCTTTCTTCTGGACTGAGCGCAGAGAATAGAATATGCATTGCCCTTGAGTCTTGCTGAGAGGACAACTTTTTATCATCTTCCCATTTTTCTTCTTCCTCATCATCCATGGGGATTGGCCCCTTCTTGACTATAGCTCATAACCCTCCATCAACGCCTCGTAGGTAGATTCTCATTCTTTTCTTCCAGACAGTGTAGTCTGTGCCGTCGAACCATGGCGGATTGGTGTTTGCTGAGTAAGATGCAGAGGCGGGTAAGAATCCTGTCATTTCTTTGATCGTCTTTGGCGAATTTAAATCCTTCAAAGACCCAGCTCTGATACCAAGCAAGGGTTCTGGGCTTCTAAAGGAGACTATTAACCCCTCGGTTCTAAGGTTAATCAAACAAACCCCCATCTCGATTTCACTAGTTGCCAAGCATTCTAGGGTTTGATAAAGTTGAAATTCCAGGGTTTACTCTTCTGGGGTTTTCAGATCTAAGTTCACTAGTACTGGTGGTTTCGATTACAAGAAATTGAATTGACCCAATTGATTGATTGATTGAATGATCATTCTGTTCTGTTTTCAGCTACGAGGCAAGCGGATTGGAAATGTGGGTCTGGGTCGAATTGGGTACCAAGTTGCCAAAAGACTCGAGGCATTCGGCTGCACCATTGCATACAAATCCAGGAAGGCAAAGCCTGGGGTTTCATACCCTTTCTACCAGAATAATTTAAAGTTAGCTTTTCACTATTGAATTTTTTATAGTAGCCAAAGCTAGATGTCGTCTTACTATCACTCAGACAAAGAGAGAAGCAAATTTTACCATTTCGATCTTGGGTCCGGATTTTTACTTGGAAAAATATTTATTTTGTCAAGAGGCGGTGGCGAATGGCCTGGTGGATTTCTACATGAATTTCTGCAAAGAACCAACACCTGATCGACCCTTCCCAAGACACTACACCAACAAAGTTGTCTCCAATTATGAAGCCCTCGTCCTTACACGCCCTTTCTGCGAAGAAGAGATTTGGGAATGCCTCACCGACTTTGATGGCAACAAAGCCCCTAGTCCGGACGGATTCACATGGGAGTTCTATAAAAAGTGTTGGGTTTGGTTTAAAGATGACGTCGTTCATGCGTTCTCCGAGTTCCATTCAAATGGCACTCTCCCAAAAAGTGCCACTCACCCCTTCCTTTGCTTGCTTCCCAAAACAGACATGGTGGAAGACACCAAGGACCTAAGACCGATCAGCCTCATGAGATCTATTAACAAACTCGTCAGCAAGGTCCTTGCACCCAGACTTAGCTCGCTTCTGCCGAAGCTTGTCTCACCCAACCAAGAAGCCTATATGAAAGGGCGCCAAATTGCTGATGCACAGCTGATCGCCTTCGAGCTTGTGGACAGTAGAAAGAAGAGCAAAAAACCTAGACTCATGTTCAAAATCGACATAGAGAAAGCTTTCGACAACGTAAATTGGAGAAGTCTTTTTAAGGTTCTTTCAAACTTGGGTTTCCCCCGAAGTGGCTTGACTGGATACAAGGTACTATGTGCTCTCCCTCGTTTCTGTCCTCATCATTGGCGAATCCAATGGCTTTTTCCCTATGGATAAAGGCCTTAGACATGGTGATTCGCTTTCTTCTGGTCTCTTTGTCCTGATTATGGATGTCCTTGATTTCATGATATCCAAAGTGAGTGTCGAGGGTAAGATTAAAGGTTTTTGCATCAATGAAGACAGCAGCAGCGGCAAAGTGACTCACCTTCGCTTCGCAGATGATACCCTCATTTTTTGCTAAGCTTCTTACGATAGGTTCTCAACATCATTGCCACACTCGTCTGCTTCCAAGCATTTACAGGACTCAACATCAATCTGGACAAAACTGTTATGTTTACCATAGGTGATATTCCAAACCCAGAGTTCTTCGCGAATTTGTTTGGTTGCAGATGGAGTGCTGAACCATCCAAGTACCTGGGATTCTATTATTGACAAATATCAGAAGAGGTTGGATGGATGGAAGAGCTGGTTCCTATCGATGGGAGGAAGAGTCGTCCTCAACAAAGCCGTTCTGTCCAACCAAGCAGTTTATCTTTTTTCTCTGTTGAGGGCTCCGAAGGCGGTTATCAATAGGATGGAAGGAATTCAACGCATATTTATATGGAGTGGAACAACCGAAATTGATAAGGTTCCCTTGGTTAGCTGAGAAAGATGCAAAGCACCTCGATCGCAGGGGGTTTGGGAATCATCGATTTGACGTGTTTCAATGAAGGAATGTTGAGCAAATGGCAATGGAGATCTGCTCACGAAAGTGATAGATAGTGGAGGACTCTGATCCGCCACAAATACACCAACCCTCACTCTCAGTGGTACCCCGGCAAATGCAGCAACGGCTTTGCCAACTCAGCTTGGACCAACATCTCGAAGGAGAGCACGATAATTTCTGGAATTTGACTTACATCGACCCTGGTAATGGAGTGTGGTGTTCCTTCTGGCACAATTTTTGGATCCCTAAAATATCTCTCGCTTTCAACTTCCCACGGGTTGCTGCTGCTTCGTCCGACCCTGCCACCAGAATCTACAATGTCAGAAACCGCAACGATAAGGGTATTAGATCGGATATTCCTTTAAATATTGTGCTGAGAGGGGGAGCTGAGCGCGAACTTTCTTCTTTACTTGATTTTCTTGATAGACACACTAATGACTAGGTCACAAGCAGGCCTAGCCGTCCGTTTTGGCTACCCGACCTAGACAACTCTTTTTCTGTTCATTCCATGTACAGGATACTCGTGAATAATAAATTTCCGGAATTCCCCATTTTCCTTGCCAAGTCGATTTGGAAGCAGATCATCCCAACAAAAATTTGAATCTTCCTATGGTTGACAACTCTCAAGATGATCCATACAACACCAGCGAGGAAATCTTTTCAAAAACAGAGATTGGCAATCCAGTCCCCCCGACAACCCGGATAAATAGATCAATTTATGCGCCCTTCATGCAATTACCTGGCATTTGTGGCTCGAAAGAAACCGACGAATCTTCCAAAACTCTAGTCAGAAAAAACAGTTGTCGCTTGAAAAGCTTTTAAATCAATGCTTGAATGACCTGTTGCGATGGGAAAATTCACTAAAGAGGAGGGCCATCAATGGCTCTACGATCATATGATAGACCCCTCTACAACGATCCCTGATCCGTGCCCTTTCAGCTGAACATTTTCTTTGGCTCCTTTGGCTTTGATCGTTGTTTTGTTTTACCCTGTATCGCTGGGATTCTGTACTTTTTCCGCTTTGTTCTTCGTCACAGTAGGATTGGTCTGGTACATTCAACTGTGCTTTTATGTGTTTCTCTTTTCTTTCGTTCGTTCTTTTTTTCGGTTTTGCTTTCTGCGGGCGGCTCAATCCTGTTGAGCTTCTTCGCCCTTACTTTTCTTTCGTTTGTTTCTTTGAATTCGTAATAAAATCCTTCACCATTATAAAAAAAGGCTTAATACACTTTCATAGCCATAACTATTCGCGTTGTGACAATTATAGCCACTTTTTGAAAAATATACTCATATAGCCATTCCGTCACAAACTTTAAAGGCATCACTGTAAATGCGGAGTAGACAAACGTTTTCTACTGACGTGGCGACTTTTCGTCAAAAAAGATGCCAGGTGGAAGTATTATTTTTTATTAAATTGCAATTACATGAAAAAAATTAAAAAATGAAAAATCATCTTCCTCCAGACCATATGCTTTTGCGATCTCTTCCCTAATTGAAACCCCCAAACCCATTCCCTCGTCGAACTCAAATTCAGTTTCAAGAAAATCCAAAAACTTCCATCACCCAAATTCAGATTCAAGAAAACTTAATACGACGAAGGCGTGGAAGTGAGGGCGGCGGCGCCGGGAGGGCGAAAGGGGAATTTGGTGTAGAGGAGATAGAACTTAGAGATGGATCCTAAAGCTACACCGCCGGCAGGATGGGCATGTGATTTGATCGACAATCGGACCCGACGCCGATGGTGAGGATGAGGAGAGGAGCGCAGAGAGGGTAGAATCAGGTCGTCAAGGCCGAGCCCAGATCTGGCAATGGTGGATTTGGAGGCGACGAAATTTCAATCTGGCGGTGGTGAGGGGTCTCGGAGAGGATGACGAAGGAAATATATTTTTGGAGAAATGGATTTGGTTCCTCTATATCTGGTTCTCTCACCCTTTGCTTTTGTCGGCAACATCAATCAGTTTCTCCCGACATCGCCTCCATCGTGCCGCTTCCGCCTCTCGCTCCACTTTCTAGATCTACACCATCTGTCAAAGCATCGATAAGGCCCGCCGCTTCTCCAACATTGATATCCGACCTGGTTTATGATGCCTACTCTAGCGAAGGAAACCCAATCGTTGCACCTGCCTCTCTCTTGGTCGACGAACTGGGTAGATTCGAAGAGGAAGTTGAAATTCGAAGAGGAAGAAAGAAAGAGTCGGGATATCTCCCTCCGACGAGGACCTGGAAACTTGAATCGAGGACGAGACACCAAGGGAAACTTCTCGACATAGATGGCCGCATCTTTCGATATAATAGCAGGCCAGCAGCTGGTTGATTAGGGATTTTCCCCTCCGGCGAGCATCTGGTTGGTTCTTCTTTAATCTGAATTTGGGTTTCGACTTTCGAGTTTTGACGAAGAGATCTGGGGGTTGGAGGAAGGTGAACAGGCGGTGTGGGGATGGGAAAAAAATTAATTATATAAAAAAATTTAATTTGTTGGTGGAATCCAAGTCAGTGCTGACGTGGGCAAATAGGGTCTAGTTGGCGATGACATGTCATCCACGTGGAAGCCACGTCATTTGGCGATGACGGCGTTCGTTACTACATTAACGGTAGTAACGGAAATGGCTATAGTTGACAAAAAAGTTTTACAAACATTTAATTTTTGGCTATACGAGTGTATTTTTCAAAAACTGACTATATTTGTCACAACGCGAATAGTTATGACTATGAAAGTGTATTTTGCCAAAAAAAATGATCAGACGAGACTAGTACAATGTACTGGGTACAAAGCTAATTTTTATTATTAAACTTCATTATTTAACATTTGATCCCCATCGTATTTTTAAATTCTATCTTGTTAGTCTAGTACAGAACCTTTTTTTCTCGAATCAACTATCTCCTTAGTCTCTGGACTTAGAGCTTGAACTGCAGAAGAAGAGAATCCCCCACGAGTTCTGTAGTTGCAGACATCATGTATTCTGAGATTGTGGTCCCTCTGTATTTGGGAGGATTCCCTTCAGATAGCAGCTCCACAATGGGTTCATATATGGTTGGATTTGGTAATAGGCCGGTGCTAAAAAAGCAGGCCGCCGATATCCTCGGTTCATCGCTACGATTTGCCAGCACCCTATGCTTCACGCTCCTAAACTTATCATTCGACATAATCTGGAAAATAAACCGCGTAACATGAGCACATATGTCATCTCTTAACCGTACATTAATTGTCTACTGAAACACCATCGAGAAAGGAAATCCTACCTGAAGCAAATCTCCGATGTTGATTACAAGGGACCCCGGCAGAGGAGTTACGTCAACCCACCGATTCTGATGAAGGACCTGGAGACCACCAACATGATCTTGCAGGAGAATGGTGATGAAACCGGGGTCTGTGTGCTTGCTATTCCCCAAAGTACGATCAGGCTGAGGACATGGCGGATAATAATGACACACAAAGTAATGTCCCAGCAAGCAGTCCTTATTTCTCAGGTAGTTTGGTTCAAGTCCTAGAGCCTCCGAGAGCAGCTCAGAGATCAGGTAGCCCATCTTAAGCATCTCCTTGGAATACTCCATCAGGATTTCCCAGTATTTATTTTGATCTGAACTTAATTAGTAGCTAATAATTCATGCACGACTTGGAATGCTCGTTGTCGATTGTATCATACCTGTTAGCAACAGGAAGTTCTTCGGGCTTGGGACGATCAGGAGCCATAGAGAACATGGTACTGTCCCTCCAATATAATTAGTGACCTGGGCGGTGTACAAGTCGTAGTTGCTGTTGTAAGCAATCTTCCTAGTGTAGTCGCGTGTGAAGAACTTGGCCTTTGTTGGGTATTTGCGGAAGTAATGGTAATTTAGGATCAACTCAAAGGAAACAAAAGATGTTTAATCACTCTTTTGGAAATACACTCAAACAAACATAGCCTTATAGTTTTGGCTTATGTTTAACACTTACAGAAAAATGGATACACTGCACACTTGTGCCTTTCTTTCTTTTCCTTTACTTTTTTTCTCACTTCCCACGCTTCTCTGACACACTCCATGCATACATATATAGAGAAATTTTATAATGCTATATAGTATTGGTGCTATAGGATTTTGTCTTTATGGTACAATTTAAAATTGTACATTTACATTATGGTACAACTTCATATTGTACCTATACTTTTTGTACAAATTCTTTTATGGTACAACTTGAACTTGTACATTTAAGTGATGGTACAACTTCAAGTTGTAAAGTTGTACCATAACATAATGGTACAAATTGCTTTATGGTACAACCTAAACTTATACATTTAATGTTATGGTACAACTTTAAGTTGTACATTAAAGCACCAATACTATATAGCATAGTAGAAGTGCTCTACATATATAATACACAATTGAAGAAGAAAGAAACTAATAGAATGACCCCATATACTCAATGCAAGTGAGCCCTCTTCCATCATCATCTTCTCTTCCACGATACAACACAACACATGCATGAGTTAATACCAAATCCAATCATGTTCTCATGCATTGATATAGCCTTATCAATTTTGTCTTCAACTTCCAATCCACTTGCTGCAACTTGCTTGAATTATTTTGATGATGTCTCTTACATGTGCTCTTGTTCTTCACGTCAACATTGGGGTAGATATTGATAATTGATCAATCAATAATATTAGGCCTACCATGTGAAGTGTTTTGGGGTAAATTTATTGCAAATTACCTTTTAACACCCCCTCTTAATTTGAAATTCGGAGTATCTCCTTGAACTTCTCGAACTTCTCACGAGTGACCGCCTTTGTCATGATATCGGCTGGCTGATCATCAGTGTTGATGAATTTCATCACGATTATTCCGTCGTTGACGAGGTCTCGGATGAAATGATGACGCAACTCGATATGCTTCGATCTTGCGTGAAATACTGGATTCTTTGTCATGGCTATGGCTGACATGTTGTCACAATGAATAATGGTTGGACCATTTTCATTTTGCTGCTAATAAAAAATTAATCTTTTTAGCCATACCGCTTCGCATGCTGCATCTGTAGCTGCGATATATTCTGCTTCCGCTGAAGATAGAGCAACAGTCTTTTGCTTCTTTGAACTCCAGGAAATGGGTTTTGAACCCAGGCAGAATATGTACCCCGATGTGCTTTTTCGATCATCCAGTGATCCGGCCCAGTCACTATCGGTATATCCAGTCAGCTTGCTTTCTGCTTCTTTCTTGTACGTCAGGCCCAATTTTTTAGTACCTTGAAGATATCACAAAATTCTTTTGGCTGCTGCAAAATGAAGTTTGCTAGGTTCATTCATAAATCTTGATATAAGACTTACTGAATGACATATATCCGGCCTGGTATGTGTCAGGTAAATGAGTGACCTGACAAGACTTCTGTACAGCTTTCCATCGACTTTTTCAGCTCCATCATTGCGTTGTAATTTCTCGTTTAACGCCATTGGTGTTGAGATTGGTTTGCACGTTGCCATGTGAAATCTTTTCAGCAAATCTTCGGTGTACTTCTCCTGTGAAATAAATATTTCTCCAGGTGACTGCTTCACTTGGATCACAAGAAAATATTTCATGACTCCCAAGTCCGTCATCTCGAATTCTTTCATCATGGTACTTTTGAATTCTTCGATCATATGTTGATTTGTACCTGTGTAAATCAAGTCATCAACATACAAACAAACCATTAGAAAATCTTTTCCTTCTCCCTTTTTGATGTAGAGAGATGCTTCACTCGGACTTCTTTGAAATCTGTTTTGCTGAAAATATCAATCAATTCTGCTGTTCCAGGCTCTCGGTGCTTGCTTCAGCCCGTATAAAGCCTTTCGGAGACGATAGACTTTGTCTTCTTCTCCTTTTTTCTCATAGCCTCGTGGTTGTTCCATATAGACTTCTTCTTCCAGTTCTCCATTCAGAAATGCTGATTTGACATCCAGCTGGTATACTGGTAACTCCAGTTGAGCAGCTAGAGCGAGAACTGTTCTGATGGTCTCCATCCTCGCTACTGGTGCATATGTCTCGTGAAAATCAATACCGGGCTGTTGTGAATAGCCTTTTGCAACCAGTCGAGCTTTGTACTTCTGGATAGTACCATCTTCATTGAATTTGATTTTATAGATCCATTTGAGACCTATAACCGGCTTGTCCTCCGGTTGATCAAGAAGCTCCCATGTCTTGTTTTTCTCGATCATGGAAATTTCTGCATCCATTGCCTCGTTCCAAACTTCTTCTTTGGCTGCTTCTTCAAAGACTTGAGGCTCACAAGAAAAATATGCAACATGACTTGTTTCATAAATTTCTCGCAAAGACCTTGTTCTCAACGGAGGTGAATCCGAGTCTGTTACGACGTCTCTGAAGTTGTCTACTTCTGGGCTAGGTGCAGAATTTCTTTCTGGACTAGCAACTGGATCTGGCTCGTTGCTGGGGTCTTCTGGAATTGCTGAATCCTCCAGAATTTCATAACTTGGTGGAGATTGAGAAATTGGATTTTCCCAATTCCACTCCGCCATCTCATCAAAGATCACATCTCGGGAAACCACCACCTCGTTCTTTACTGGATTGTCAAGACGATAGCCTTTGGATTCATCACTGTAGCCGGTGAAAATCAGTTTCTCACCCTTCTGGTCAAACTTGTCTCGGTTTGGGGTAGAAATATGTGCATAAGCTATGCACCCAAAGACTTTGAGGTGATCCACCTGTGGCCTCCTGTGGTGCCACGCATGTATCGGTGTCTTGTTCCGAACTGCTTTGGTTGGTGATCTATTGAGGATGTAAATTGTTGTATTGACCGCTTCTGCCCATAAGTTGTTGGATAGCTTCTTTGCTTTGAGCATACTTCTCGCCATCTCCACAATCGTGCAATTTTTCCGTTCTGCCACGCCATTTTGTTGTGGTGTGTAACGGACCGTCAGCTGCCTTTTTATCCCGTTGTTGCGGCAATACTCCATGAACGGAGTATAAATAAATTCTCCTCCACAATCTGTACGAAGAGTTTTGATTTGATGGTCGCTTTCCTTCTCAGCTACTGCTTGGAATTGAAGGAACTTGGGAAAAGCTTCTGACTTTTGCTCCAGAAAGAATACCCACATCATTCTGGTGAAGTCATCTACAAATAGTAGAAAGTATCTCTTGCCGCTGAGCGATTGTGTTCGGGTTGGACCGCATATGTCTGCATGTACCAACTCCAGTGGCGCTTTTGCTCTCCAAGATGTCTTTGGAAATGGTAAACGATGCATTTTGCCATATATGCATTCTTCACAGATCTTGTCTTCTCTGTTGATCTGGGGAACTCCCACCACCATATTTTTCTGCCTCAATAATTTGAGACCTTTGAAGTTGAGATGACCATATCTGAGATGCCATAGGAAGGATTGATCCAGATTTTCACTCTTGAATGCTACTTCACCATTTTGTGACATAGCAAGAGAGAAAATTCTGTTGGAAGTCATCGGGACTTTGGCCACCATGAAATTGTCAGCTTTGTTGATAATCTCGCACACGCCATTATCAAACAATAGCTTGTAATTTTTCAGCATCAGTTTTCCCACGCTAAGTAGATTGAGAGTTAGCTCCGGAACATACAAAACATCTCGAATGAGAGTTTTGTTGCTTTCTTCTGTGCATACAACAACTGTGCCTTTTCCTTCCACTTTTAGCTTCTTTCCGTCTCCCAACTTGACTTGAGAGCGGTATTTGTCATCGATGTCGGTGAAGGACTCCAGATCTCCAGTCATGTGGTTACTGCAACCACTATCCACCATCCAGGGAAGCTGTGATTTTTGCTCACCATTTAAGCATGACAAGGCCACCATATTGCTTTCTTCATTTTTTGTGCCGCTTGACTCGCCTTCTTCTTGCTTGTTCTGGAACCAGCAATCTCTCTGGGAATGGTTTTGAATTCTGCACTTGGTGCACTTGAATCTACAGTCTTTTGTTGCATGACCCGCCTTTTTGCAAATTATGCAACTCGAGCCGATGTAGCCCGATCTTTGTTGTTGATAATTTTGTCTGTTGTTTCCTCTGTAATTGGATCTTCCTCTTCCTCTTCCTTGTGAGTTTCCCCCTCTCTGGCCTTGCTCCGATTTGACATATTTACTTTCCGTCATGTTGACTTTTGACGAGAAAGCTTGCTCCAATGGTGGTTTGTTGAAGCGGCTCATTCTTTGCTCGTGTGCTACGAGTGAGCCCATCAACTCGCTCATTGATAAATTTGCCAAATCTTTGGTTTCTTCAATGACAGCAACAATATGCTCGAACTTTGATGATAAGCTCCGGAGAATTCTCTCCACGACCTTCCTCTCTTCCATGACGTCACCGGTGGCTTTGATCTGGTTGACTGTCTCCGCCACACGTGAATGGAAGTCTTTGATGGTGTCGGTTTCCTTCATCATCAAGTTGTCGAACTGTCGCCATAAACTTTGGCGCCTGATGGAGATTGCCTTTTCAGAACCTTGAAATTGTTCACGCAAGACATCCCAAGCTTCTTTGGCCTTTTTGATGCCATAGATTCTCGGGTAAATCGATTTGCTCACTGCTTGCTGAATTATTCTCAAGGCGCTGGCATTTTGCTTGGCATTCTCCTTGTACTCCTTTGTCTGTTTGCCTGCTCGTTTCTTGGAATCTTCATCCTCGTCTTGTGGATCTTCGTAGCCTTCTTGGACGATATCCCAAAGATCTTGAGAGATGAAAATAGGCTCCATTTGGGCACTCCAGTACTCGTACAATTCTCCATCGAAAATGGGAATTTGATTTGATGAGGTAGCAAACATGGTGTGCGATGAATTTGTTGCCATGGCTTTTGGAGAAAATTTGTGTAGGCTAGAAAGTAGGGATTTTTTAGAGGATAAAAGGGTATAAGCTCTGATACCAAATTTGTTGGGTATTTGAGGAAGTAATGGTAATTTAGGATCAACTCAAAGGAAACAATTGGTGTTTAATCACTCTTTTGGAAATACACTCAAACAAACATAGCCTTATAGTTTTGGCTTATATTTAACACTTACAGAAAAATGGATACACTGCACACTTGTGCCTTTCTTTCTTTTCCTTTACTTTTTTTCTCACTTCCCACGCTTCTCTGACACACTCCATGCATACATATATAATACACAATTGAAGAAGAAAGAAACTAATAGAATGACCCCATATACTCAATGCAAGTGAGCCCTCTTCCATCATCATCTTCTCTTCCACGATACAACACAACACATGCATGAGTTAATACCAAATCCAATCATGTTCTCATGCATTGATATAGCCTTATCAATTTTGTCTTCAACTTCCAATCCACTTGCTGCAACTTGCTTGAATTATTTTGATGATGTCTCTTACATGTGCTCTTGTTCTTCACGTCAGCATTGGGGTAGATATTGATAATTGATCAATCAATAATATTAGGCCTACCATGTGAAGTGTTTTGTGGTAAATTTATTGCAAATTACCTTTTAACAGCCTTCTCCTTGAGATCTTGCTCGTAGAACCTCTTCACTCCGGCTTTCATCTCATCCAGCACGTTGAGTGGAACTCCATGGTTCAGGACCTGGAAAAAACCCCAGGTGGAGGAAGCATCTCGAACTTTCTCGACGATCTCCATGGTTCAGGACGGGGAAGGTGACTTCTCGTCACTTGATTTGTTGCTGTCCATGATATCAGGCGACGTGTAGAAGATATGAGGGATTTCGGTCACTCCGGCATCCACCAGACCTTTTACACCGGCTTTCGTTTCGTCGAAGGCCTTTAGCTGCGCCAGTCGATCAGCTCCAGAGTTCGCCGAAACGGATGCCATTTTCTTAATCAACAATGCTATGTTTTCTTTCAGGGAGAAGGGGCTTTAATTAGGATAATGGTAGCCACTTAAGCTGCCAATCGACGGTCCACGTTATTCACCACAGTATAAAGTAGGTGAAAGACAACTATAGTTTTCTGCGTTAATAATTGTAAAACCGGTTTAAAAAGTGAAGCAAATGGTTTGAGATTTATTGATCGGATCGCGAATTTAAACCGTTTTATATGTCCTATAGAAATATATGCATATATGTGGCAATAATTTAAATTTGAATAACCTACATATCATTTGATAGGTATGATACAATAATTGAACAAGTAATATATGTCGACCTTGCCTCTTTAAATTTAAGTTTATTTTAATAATTGGTACTTCTCCACCTCAATCATCACGGTTGATGAGTGGTTACATGGCCCAGCCCCAGCCTTTCGCCTCCCAATTTCTAATATTAATCATATACATATTATTTAGTATGTCACTTATTTAGGGATTTTTCCAATAATAGCACCTATTAAAAAAAATTATAAAAATAGCACCCAGCCCATAAAATTTACAAAACTAACACCATTTTTATCAAACCGCACATTCAAGGTGCGTTTTATAATTAAACCGCACCCTCCAGGTGCATTTTATGTATAAACCGCACCTTGGAGGTGCGTTTTGCGCCACGTCAGACTGGGAACTGCACAAGGAAGGTGCGGTCAATGTTTTCAGCGGAACGGTCTTCAAGACCGTTGGATGAGGTGGCGATCTAACGGCAGACCACATGCCACCTCAGCGATCCGCGCCATGGATCGAAGACCGCTTCTGCAGGGTGCGGTTAGCGCCTCGAGAAAACGGACCGCATTGGGAGGGAGCGGTTTCAAGGAGGCCAAAAATACCAGACCGCCCCTGAAGGGTGCGGTCTGAATACTATAAATCTCCTCCCCCCCCCCCTCTCATTTCTTCACACCACAACCCATTATTTACTCTCTCTAAAATTATCTCTCTAACCCCTCCCCTCCCAAAAGTCTAGAAAATAGTGGTCTGTTGGTTGTGGCTAAGTCCGATCTGCCATCAGAAAACATTTCTTTGGCTTTCCCCTCAAAACCCGCCGAATTTATGTCTGACTTTCGCGAAAAAATGGACGAGTGGTTCCAAGGAGAGGGATTTTATTATGCTGAATTTCAAGCGGTACGTACTCATTATTCTGGTCAATTTTGGTTTTGGTTATAAGCTTTTTAATTAATCTATATATTAACATTGTTGTTATTCTCTCGTAGGTTGGGGACGACGTGGATATATACAACCAACGCTATTATTTGGATCAAGGACCTATTGATCCAACCAACTTCTACGACCAACCCAACCAGGTACATACAATTCTTCATCATTTGTCTTTCTTTTATTTTGCTAATGTACTTAGTGGAATATAAAATGAATTTGAAATAATTTAAACGTATTGGTTGTTTTCAATAATTTAATCGAATACATAGCGCCACTTACTTCGACTCTTTATAAAGAGATGCACGTCTAAGGAAATGTGGTTTTAAGCGATTATCATGATCCTCCCATTTCCTGGGAAAATCGGATATTAAGAGATCCTCGGATCCCCCCTTTTTCTGTCAAAAAGGTTGCGTTTCTAAGAAGATGTATACCTCTTCTAAGAGTCTAACGAGTGTTGCATTGTATTCGATTAAATTATTTAAAACAACCAATACGATTAAATTACTTACCAAACAACCAATACGATTTATGTTTATGTGTACTTAAATGAATTTTATTAATTTCAAATGTTTGAATATGTATGTATCTCTTTAAATTATTATTCATTTATAATTTTATTTATGTCAATTAATTTAGTATGTTTGTTTTATGATAATATGTATATATCTTGGAAAAAACCATTAATTACTTAAATTTGATTGCTAATAATATAATTATAATAGAATTATGGACTAAACTGTTACTAATATATCATAAATAACGTTGAAATTTTTGCTAGGAGGCACAACAAATACTCCGCTACAGGGGTACGACCAATGTGCTCCCATGGAACCCAGTTATCTTGCCCTTTCTCAAAAGGGCACGGTTGGAGTCGATTAGGCATTTTGTAGGCATAAAAGTCGATCGCCAACTCATCACAGCATCGGTGGAGAGATGGAGAAAGGAGACACTTTGTTTCAACTTTCATGAAGGAGAGTGCACTATCACACTCAAGGACTTCGCCATCCTAACTAATCTGCCCATCGACGGCAAAGCGGTGTGTGTGAGTGATCATCCCCCCGAGGATCGTGACGGTATGACCGGTTGGCAGTATTTCATCCATAGTATTTTGGGGGTGAAAGTACCAATAAAGGGGAGCGTTGATGCGACGGATCGCTTGCCACCATTGAGGAAACACCAAGTATCAATCACTTGGTTGACGAAGTATTTTAGAGGCCTTCACCATCCTGAAAAAAATTGGGTGCCCCTAACCGAGGAAAGTCCGGAGCTAGAGAAGGAAAGATATGCTCGTGTCTATCTCATAGGCATGATAGGAGGAGTGTTCTTCTCCAAAAAATTGAGCAATTTAATTAGCTGTGGATGGCTTAGGATCCTCCTTGGTAGTTGGGATGCGAAGGGGGAGTTGATCTGGGCATCCGCTTGCCTAGCTAATATCTACCACCATTTGTGCAATGCATCTCTCAAAGCTGTGAGGGAGGTCGGCGGCGCAATGTTCATCGTCCAATTTTGGGCTTGGGAGTATCTGCCATGGATTGCACCGCTCCAATGTCCCGATAGGAATTGGGGTCCCGATCATCCCCTAAGACTCGAAGCTTATGGTTGTAGGTAAATTTCTCATACACCATCATGATTTTAATAACACAATTTTCCTTATTTTTTAGCTTATTTTAGCTTATTGTATTTTTATTATTGTCTTATTAATAAGGTGGGTTGGAGCCTCAACATGCGACAACCTTGCGCAACACAAATTGGTAGAGTATCGGAAGAGGCTAGAGCGACTTTGGGAAGGAGAGGTAACTAGAATACTTCTAAGTGCTATAACTTTTTTTCACGGAGTACATGTATTTCTCCAATCGGATTTAACTTAAGTTACTAATTTTTTTTGTAGATCAAATTCGATCCATACCCGGCGAACATCGTTCATTGGAATTTACAGCAATTCCCCGAGAATATCGGGAAATGGTGCACGAGGGTCCCTCTCATTTGTTTAGGGACCGTGGAGTGGCACCTGCCGGATCGATGCCTTCGTCAGTTTGGTCGGGAGCAGTGCATTCCGTTGGAGGTCCCCGAGAGTCAAAGGGCGTTTCACCACCGAGATGGTCGGCAAGGTACTCACGATTGGCCCACGAAGTTGGCGGAAATGATCGCGATATGGGAGAACCGACAACTTCAGGGTATTGTCACTCCAACAAATGTGGGTCGAATGGGGTATCAGACCCATACATGGATAGATATCGGCAAACATCGGATCGGTACGTGACTCCGGAGGGTGCGGCGGATGGTGCATTGGTAAGTATATTTCATCTAATAAGATTAAATTTATTGCTTGTTTCATTCTGACACATCATTAGTCTTATCTTGATAACCTTTTTATGTGATTTAGGCCGATGGGATCGAGCGGATCAAAGATTTGACCCATGGGAAACATGAAATGGGCAGTGAAGATGTGAGTTTCATCAGGAGGATGACAAACAGTCTGCTTGGCTGTATCAGAGCACAGGTTCGTGATCATTGTAGATACAAACAGTCTGAAATGGGCAATTTTTGAGTGAGTCGATATTGACGAATGGACTGACGAAGTGACGGGGGTCTTTGCTCCTGTTTTTAATTATAGCCATTGCATGAGAACATGGCCACCCTCTCCCCTGATACTTCTAGAATGAGCACTCACCAAGTTTTGTCTTGAAATTTACCAAAACTTCATGGCGATGGCCCCCGCGTCTACCATCCTCACGGTGTCCGGTCGTTACGCTAAACTCGCCAGTTTCCCGATTCATAACATTTACACTGTGTCGACTACTCTTGTGATTGTCATGCTCCAGTATTTCTGTGACTTTATTGGCATGGACCTTTCCCTGTGCCTCGTTCGTCCTTGCTCAGTGTAGTCGATTGACGAACCATCCATTCGTTTCCAGAAAGTCATCTCCACAATGGCAGAGATTGGCAGCGCCCGAACACCCTTGTAGGCAGAGTTGATACTCTCACTTGAGTTCGTTGTGTCAATACCCCATCTTGTCCATCCAGCCACAGTGCCCCTTAAGGGCATAACTCGCGCATCTTCTGCAACTTCTCCTGGAATTTTTTCACTTGGTATGCAACAGCTGAGGTAATCACAATCAAGTATTACGTTAGTCATAATTTGGCAATTTAGTACAATTCGAACAACCAGCAGTTACTCTCGTTAGACTCTTAGGAGAGGTATACATCTCCTTAGAAACACAACCTGGTTGACAGAAAAATGGGGGATCCGAGGATCGCTTAAAACCCGATTTTCCCAGAAAATGGGAGGACCATGATAATCGCTTAAAACCCCATCTCCTTAGGCATGCATCGCTTAAAACCCGATTTATTTGATATAAGATATTGTTATCAGACAAAATTAAACAACCAATAGAGAGCTGACCAATCCACCACAAATTATTAGCAAGCTTCTTCCGCTTGAAATGATGGTTCCAGTTTCTCTTGAAGTATCGTATGCACCACCTTTGGGACCACTTCCAGGCTGGATCCAAACCTAAGATGGAATCTCTAATCCTGGCGTTCCGATCAGAGATTATTGTCAAGTTCGTCCTCCTAGTGACGTGGAGCTGAATTTGCCGGAAAAACCATCCATAGCTATCAGTATTCTCTCCCTCAACAATGGCTAATGGAAAGACATGTTTGTTTGCATCCGGCCCACTGGCAATTAGTAGAGTGCCCTTGTACTTGTCGGTAAGGAATGTACCATCCACTTGGATCACAGGGACACAAAAGCCAAAACCATCAATAGATGGCTTGACTGCCCAAAAAAGTCGTCTGAAATGGCGTTT